GTAGGAGAGAATCTTTCTAAAAATGCTCAATAACGGGATGACACTGTGTCAGCTGAGATTCTCATCCCGGAGAAGGGTATGAGCCCCGGTTGAAGCAACGAGTTCTAGCAGAATTCAGCGTTTCTTTGATAATAGCGCCACCTACAGGAGTAAATTTAACAACAAACGATGCAGAAGTAGTGTTGATTCTTTCAATAATGGATTTGGAAACAGCCCAATTATGAAGGGAGGCAGAAAATAATTAGTGAGTACATTTCTTTACATTAATGTCAAGTAGTAAATGAATTCTTTCACTTTTGCACAATTTCGAGTTACTGCCGAGTACCCTCTCTTCCGCTTCCGCAAGTTTGTTCGTGGGCATTTATTCGAAAATAGATGGGCTCCTATTTTTGGCAGGCTTCTTTTCAAGAACGAACCACATCGCGAAATTGTTTCATCTCTTCCACGCCATCCCACGAAACTTCCTTCAACTTCGCAATACCTCTAGTGTTGTTACAAACAGATTGTTTTCCATTTGTTATCCGTGTGCTTTCAAAACATCACCGGTATAAAAGCCTTCATGCTGAGTATGGTTCAGTTTATCCACTCTGCTCTGCTGTGTTTATCCAAATAAACGACTTTGGACTCGCAGTGTTCACGCAGCCGGAAGCAGAAGTAGAAACAAGTGTACGTCAACTCTATAGGATGAACAAGATACGCTGGGTGTTAGGTCTACACGACAACATGATGGTGCGATCCGACAAGTGTCTTGAACATCTCAAGCAGTTTCTGAAACCATCGATAATCTCACCACTTTATTCACTTTCTATTTTATTTTATTTCCAACCGCAACCTCGAGGGCGAAATAATACAGGCTGCGGAATGTGATTGTGTCTAAAAAAAGTTGTATTATTCACGTGTTTATCTTCGTACCATTATTATGCTTGTCTCCAATGTTCACAGGGTGATGCATAGCCTACAGAGCAGAACCTATAGCCAGGAACCTCCTCCTACCATAGCATAAATCCGATTTAGCATAAATTTGTCAGGGCACGGAACGAGCGTTCGAAAAGACCAGGCCATGTGAAGTGGTTAATGCCTAAATCCTCCTGCATATTTTTGCTGAGTATTTTCTCCCATATCATCTGATTGATCGTGCAGACGATGAGCCGTAGCCTCTAGCAGCCACTTGAGCTTTTTACTTTAACGTTTTGGCACAACTTACTCTGCGTTGAGTGAAACTAATAAGTGATGAAAACAGTGATTGGTAGCTGCCCGCAGTATCCGTTGCTGGCAATGTGCTTACAACCAGGGTCTCCGTTGTGCCGAGTTAAGAATTTTTACGACCTGCCCCCTCCCCTCGTCATTCTTTTTCAGAATTACCATTACTGCCACCTGGAGTCGGCTATTCAAGTCATTTTACATATTATGGTTAAATTACAGTCTGGGGGAAGCACTCCTTGTTACTAATCCGTAGTACTAGAGAGCACACTTTGGACTTGGACCCAATGATAAGATAGGATAACGACTCAGTTCAAGTGCACTTTTGATAAGGACCGGTGTATGCCTTACACCATGCACATCCTGCTCACATCCTAGGCAATTTATAGCATGTAATCGTCCATGCAAACGTCGGAAAGGATGTTCACACATTAGTTCAGGACCATTTCCTTGGACCATAGCATGCCGAAATCTGAAAGGTTCAAAGCGCTTTCACACTACACCAGTCCTAATTGAAATAACTTCAAACGATTCGATTACGTGTCATGAAAACCTCTAATCTTATCCTTACTATAGAACATAATGAAGTGCAACCTAAACTGGAGTTTCACACATATTTGTGCTCACTACGGTGTGTCATCGACATAGAAAGAGGTAACGAGTAGTGGAAAATTGCGTCATACGCTCAGTTTCGCTAACATTTTGCATAACTAG